TAGATAGATAGACAGATAGATAGACAGACAGACAGACAGACAGACAGACAGATAGATAGACAGACAGACAGACAGACAGACAGACAGACAGACAGAAAGATAGATAGATAGATAGATAGACAGATAGATAGATAGATAGATAAAACGATGGATGGATGGATGAATGGATTAGATAAATAGATAAAACCATGGATGGATGGATGGATTGATGGATGGATAGACAGACAGACAGATAAATAAATAGACAGACAAACTTTGATAACCATCACTGATATTGCATTCATTAGATAACCCAGATTTGTTTGTCCTCCTTTGGCTCTTGTTAATATCAGAGCTCACGCTGAAATATGACTGAAATCTGTCACTAAATAAGAAAGAGTCAGACAGACTGCAGGCTTTACCATTTTTTAATGGAACATTAAAACGTTTTTGTTTTTTTTCCATGAACCTCCAGCGTCAAGATCTCACCACAGCGAGTTTAGATGATGATGATGATGATGATGATGATGACGGGTGTGAAGCAGCTTTCATCAAACACACACACCATCTTCATCATCATCAACTGCAACAACAACAATCCTCAGCAATATATAAACTTTATATATACTTTAATAACCCATCACCATCACCTACATAACTAAACACATTCATCCTTTAACACCAGAAAGCACAGAACACACAGACACATCAGAACCAAACAGCAGTGAAGTTCAAGTACACAAGAAAACAAGGAATGGACTCCCAACCAGTCCATCATTTCAGGTAAAAATCAGTGGACATCTGCAGGAATTCATGGAGAAATCAGCAATAATTGCTAGTATTAAAAGTCTCCGATGTCCTCGTAGCACTGAGGAAAATCTACAAGTGCATTCTGTGTAGTGTTTCCTTTTAAAACTATATACGCACTGTAAAAATCTGATAGAGATGTCTCTTTTTTTTTTTTTGGATCAGGTCCTTATTTACACAGGAAATGGATTTGGATTTATATGGAAAAATACATCTATTTCAACACTTTCTAAAGAGCAATGGAAGCAGTTTCCTGGAAACAGAAATGTGTTTTACCATCTCGCTCTACAACAGGGGTGGCCAGCCCTGTTCCTGGAGAGCCACCTTCCTGCAGATTTCAGTTGCTACCCATATCAAACACACCTGAGCCAATTAATTAGGACCTGAACACCACGTGATAATTACAGGCAGGTGTGTTTGATATGGGCTGCAGCTGAAATCTGGTTGTTGCTAGAGCAGATACGTTTGCGGCCGGAAGTTAACGAGAATTATTTCTATTATTTATTTAATTTCTTAATTGATGTATTTTATTAACGTCTACCCCCACCCCAACCCTAAACCCAACCCTCACAGTAATGTAAAATCAGTTGTTGTACCGAGTATTAGTTATGTTATCTATTAAACTACCCAATAAAATTATTTTTTAATGCCTACCCCCACCCCAACCCTAAACCCAACCCTCACAGTACTGTAAAAATATTCATTATTGTTATACAGTGTCATCAAAAAATGCTGCTTTATTAATGTGCATATCGCACTTCCGGCCGGCCGCATATCCGATCTAAACTTTACCCTGAAATCTGCAGAAAGGTGGCTCTTCAGGAACAGGGCTGGCCACCCCTGATCAACTATAACCTGTGCAGAAGTGTTAAGAAGGATCGTTCAGCCAATGATGGAAATCTGCAGTTCATTTTACTCAAGACGTGCTTTTCTTCAGTAGAACATTAAGAAGACTTCTAGTTGAAAACCTGAGTTTTCATGACTCCTAAAATGCAAGTCAGCAGCTACCAGCATTTTAACCCTTGTGCATTGTTCAAATGTGCTACTCTTTTGTATGTTCAGGATGAAAACATCCACTGAGTTAAACTGCTGTAAAAACACATCAGATCACATTTCTTCGCATAAATCTGTTAATCAACCTCAGTCCTGATCAAAACTAGTAGTTTGTTTAGAAAATTGCAGGATTTTAACTCTTTAATTGCCAAATTCATAAATGATGTCACTGATTTGGTGAAAAACACACACAAAATGACGTGTTTTCAATATAAAAAGTAGTCGTGGACTGGATTTTTTTTTCTCTTTTATCACAGTTTTGGACATGTAAACAATTAGTAACAATATTGACTTTACTGCATTGTTAGTTTTTCATATTTCTCTCTAATTTACAGTTGGTGGCTGTTTTTGCCACCATTGACTTCCATTATAAGCACATTTGATGGTGCATAATTGCGCAGTCTTTGTTTTCAGTTACTCCATGTAGTTCTGAGAGCTGAGATGCAAATGTAGATTTTCTCAGACACATCAAGGTGTGTAAAGATCACTCGCACACATTCACATACACACACTTTAATTTGCGTTTATACTCCATTTAAAAACTAAGCTTTTTTTTTTTGCACAGGCCTATCTAAAGGGTTAATGATGCCAACTGATGATCAACAGTAAAAATTACACATTTGACCTCTCGCCAACAGGGAAAACCACCAACAATCAGACTTTGTAATTAAAAAACTATGGTTATAATGGAAGACAATGGGGCAAAAACAGCCACCAATAGTAAATTACAGAGGAATAAAAAAGAAAATCAATCAAAAACAAAGCATTAAAGCCAATGTTGTTTCACATGTCCAAGACTGTGATTACATGTTAAAAGAAAATCCAGTCCACGACTACTTTTTATATTATAAATACGTCATTTTGTGTGTTTTTCACCAAATCAGTGACATTATTCATGAATTTGTCAACTAAAGAGGTAAAATCCTGTAATTTAGTAGTTTTGAGCAGGATAGATGTTTGATTTTTGCAAAAAAAAACAAACAAACTGAAAATAAATGAATGATGCATTTTGAGTTTAATTTATTGGATGTTTTCATCCTGAACATAACAAAATGGCAGCAAATTTACCCAGAGTTTATCATTGAGTTTAAACATTCTTTTTAAAAATTTTCTCAAAACGTGTGTCAAAATAAGATTTATTTATTTATTTTTTTTAGCAAAAATCATTCCGCTAGCTGAAACACAGAGAAAGTTATAGCCAAATTAAGACACAAAATCACCCCAGAGTGGACAAACACATCCCTAACAGTACATAAGGGTCAAGAGTTAAATAGATCATCTAAACATTTACGAAAAATGATAAATAAAAAAACTTATCATCATCTAACCCTAGAAAAAAAAACCTGTTTGAGGTTGTGTCTTCTGTGGAACGCACAAAAAACAGCCATCGGCTTCCATCGTATTTTTGTTCCTACTCTGGGACTCAACGGCTGTTTTCCCAACATTTTGAAGTACTTCATAAAAGGTTTGATCCATTTGATTGTGAGTAAATAGTGAACTGTCCCTTTAAAAGAACACAAAAAGACGACACAAAATCAATACATGTGGCTCCTGATGATATACTGATGCATTATGAAGCAAAACGACCAATCTGAAGAAACAGAACAGCATTTACTATGCTAAATAATGACCAAATATATCAGTGTATGGTCAGGAGATACAGGTATTAATTTAGTTTGACCTATATATGATTTTCTAAACTTTTTAAATTGCCGGTAGCCTTCGATTAGCATTTTATGAAATCACCAAAAAACACAATCTCAGATAAAATTCTTACATAAAGGGATAGTTCACGCAAAAAACAGTGTTCTCAAACATTTACAAGTTTTATTCTTCTGTTGAACAATGAAGAAGATATTTTGAAGAAAGCTGAAAACCACTGACGTCCATACACTCTGAGAAATAAAGGTACAGGAGCTGTCACTGGGGCAGTGCCTTTTCAAAAGGTACATATTTGTACCTGTAGGGTCCATAATGGCACCTCAAAGGTACTATTTAGGTACATTTGGGCACTGATATGCACCTTTGAGGTACCACTGTGGACTCTTTGGGTACAAATATGTATCTTTTGAAAAGGTGCTTCCCCAGTGACAGCTCCTGTACCTTTATTTCTGAGAGTGTAGTATTAAAAACAAAAACATACTATGGAAGTCAATGGTTACAGGTTTCTGACATTCTTCAAAATATCTCCTTTTGTGCTTAAAAGAAGAGGTTTGGAACCAGTGAAAGGAAATTAAGACAGTTTTAGGTGAAGTATCCTATTAATGTTGTTCCTGAAGAAGAAGAAAAAATTCACCAACATCATCTGATATAGCCTGAGGGTGAGTAAATGAACACTTTTGGGTGAACTCTCCTTTTTAAAGCTGACATCGTCATCTTTGGCCACCCTAATGAGACGTCCCGGGACACCAAACACTGGAATGTTCTAGAAAGTAAGCACAGGATGAATAAATAAAAGGCAACAACAAGCTAAAGGGAAAAGAGTGCACTGGGGACACGCTCTTTTTTTCTTTTACCAATATAGCAAAGCCAAAGCTGTCACCTGTACTGCGATATGTACAAACGCGCAAACTTCTCACCCCCTTTTTCATAATAGCAGCAAATGCGTTAGCAGGAATTCAAGCCCCTCTGTCTTGAATCTCATTCACACACACGGAAACACACAACCGTCACCATCGTGAAGAAGCACGACCTGAGCAACACAATATTCCACTCACCGTTCATGCAGGCAGGAAGAAATCATAAACAAAGCAAGAAGTTTGGTACTGCAGTATTTCAGTGTCGAGTACGACACTCCACAAACACACCAAAGCCACTTGCACGAAACGGAACGGGCAACATTTCTTATTTCTGCACAACAGATAAGCTCTTTTTTTCCCCACTCCCAGAACGCAGCCTTGAAAGAGCGTTCGGACCCTGCAGGGGCTGATGGGACATTGTGTACAAGCAGCTGGGAAATCTTGAGCGAGCAGACCGGCCACGGCAAGATTACAAATGACCAGCAACAATAAAATGTACAAAAACGCCCACAGGCAACCTCTCAGAAAAGTGCAAAGCTCTCCAATTTATTTAGCAACCGGCGGAGCTTCACGTCACAATCCATCAGTCAGATGGCTTCATGTCCATGCCCGAAAGAAAGAAACTTTATCATACACCCTAGGTTTTTTTTTTTGCAGTTTCCTTCCTTAAAACCTCTGTGCTGAATCGGCTTTTATAAACGCACTGTGTTTATTCGCAAGGGCTGCACGTTTTTGCCGTTGGCGTGACTTTGACCGGGGCTGAAGTATGGGAAGAGTTTGGCTGGAAACTTCTCTCTGTACGTGTACAGCCAGGACATGTCGTCAGCGTTGTAGAAAACCAGCAAGCCTTTAGGATAGTCTAAGTAGACGCCCACTTTTTCCAGTTTGCTCTTGACGTTGAGGCGCGTCCAGGGCTCTGTGCATGCGCTGTATTGATTACCGTCATGCATCACGATGCAGTAGAAGCCTCGGCCGGGCTGGATTTGAATGCTGCCCTTGCGGTTGACCGTTTCGTTGGCCACACCAATCATCCACTGGGTTTTTTCGGACACCATTACCTCCCAGTAGTGGACACCTCCGGAGAAGCCTTCATCGCCCAGAACGGACACCTCTACGTCGAATCGGCGCGGTGAATCCTGCAAGGGCTGCGGGTGCAGGTTGCCATACGCCACGATGGTGCAGTCGTCTGATAAGATGAGCCGCTGGTGAGCAGTGCTGGGGTCCATGGTTAATGCAGCAGGCACTGTGAAGGGCAAGATAAAGGACATGGACATCAGTGCACTAATATTACTACACTCAACATGCATACATTCAATTTAAAAAATATATAACAAATTAAAAATGTAAAACAATAAATTAATAATATAATTAAATAAATGAAAAAAAAAAGAAAAAAAAGAAAGATAAATAAATAAAAATATAAATTAATGAATAAATTACTAAATATAAAAATAAATAAATAATATAAATATTAATGAATAAAAAACTAAAATAAATAAATAATAAATACAATTATTAATAAATGAATAAATAAATATAATAAGTAAAATAAAATAAGTAAATAAAAATATAAATAAATAAATATATAAATTAATGAATTATATATATATATATATATATATATATATATATATATATATTAATGATTTAATTATAATAAATGAAAAGTATAATAAATAAAAAGTATAAATGAATATATAATTATATATATAATAATTATAATAAAATAATACTATAAATAAGTTAAATAATATATTATTAAAATAAAATAAATGAATAAATAAATAAATAATAAATAAATAAATAAATAAATAAATAAAAATGAATAAAAAATATATATAAATATAAATAAACAAATAAAAATATAAATGCATGCATGAATGAATAAATACATTAATTAAAAATAAATAAATGAAACTATAAATGAATGAATAAATGAATAATAAATACATAAATAAATAAATAAATAATAAATGAATGAATGAATGAATTATTAAATAAATAAATACATATATGAATAAAAATATAAATGAATAAATAAATGAAAAATGAATGAATAAATAAATCAATGCATGCACGTATACATAATAAATATATAATACACAATAAATCTAAATTAAAAGTACATAATTGTGAATACATTTAACTAACTATACAAACACACAAATTATAATGCATATAAACTGTAATTAAAAATTACATCACAATAATATGAAAATGTGTTAATCCGCAAAAATTTATATGTTTTAATGTATCATTTAAAGAAATCTGTAACAAGACTTTAATACCCGAAGAAATCTTTTATTTCACATTTGGGTCCACCCTGCAGTCTTGTGTGTGAAAAAGTCATCCTTTTCCAAGTCACACTTGTTTTTATTCTTCTTTACCCTGAACTGATTGGATTCCTAAAGTCTATATATAAATAGGAAAGTCAGCTTTGCCTTCAGGCATCCACAGGGGTTTCTCTAAAAGACAGAAAGGTCATAGCTGTGGTCTAGTGGTTAATGCATGTGCTCAGATCTGGATGCACTTTTACTTTAGTATCCTTTTCCACCTATTCATTTCATCTCCTCTCTTCTATAGACTTATCACAGAGTAAAGTGGCAAAATGGCTGGAGGTCAAAGAGGTCATTCCTATCAATCAAAAGCGCTGACTCAATCACTATCTGAACTGGTGGAATAAAGCAAACACACTCCTTTTATTTCAGGTCATCTCAACCATACACTCCCTCATCTCCAAACACCCGAAACCAGATGAAGTGTACTAAACGCTTGAGAAACGATTTAAGGTTTGCAGTGCTGACCATTGTTTTAGCAATGCTGCCAGACATTGAGTACTTTGTCGAAGAAGGATAAATAAACCCCCATCCATCAACCTCTGCCTGGCTGGTAATGCCTGCAGCAGACAGTCTGCAGTGCCCACTATGATGCCAGCTTCCTGTGGGTTCAGTGGTGGGAAAGTGTGCCAAAAGGAACGGACCGAGAGAAGAGCAAACATTGGAAAACGAACAAGCTTCCTGCGTGCAGGCAAAAACAACGGACACATACCGACTGAGCAAATAGTCCAAACCAGCTTGGACCTGAATGAGGGACTCGAGCCAAAGCAGTTGCAACACATTATGATACGCAAAGATGCCAAGATATAATTCTGGAAAGTTGAGATACGATGAAGTAAAGGTTAAGATAATGAAACACACAAGGAGAAAATGAAGCTCTGGGGTAAACGATGCATATCTGAAGCAATCGCTTATCTGGCATGTTATGCATTCTTTTGCAGCGCATGTGAATTTTTTTTTTTTTTATAATTGTATGAAATTAGGCTGAAACATTGATGGGGAAACAATACTGGCTGCCTTCCCTGCACTCCAAAGACGGGCATGTCTGCTAGAGAGCAGAGAATAAAAGAGTGAAATTTGCTAAATATTTTCGTCTTGGCTATTTAAAGCCAAGCGGCAGGGCCAGAAGCCGGTCCACAGGATAAGATGTCGGCATTTCCACTCTTTGACATTGGCAGTTTGTGCTTCAGGTAACCTATAAATAATTTAACCTCTGTCGCCTTTGCTTTCGATCCATCTCTGCTTCTCCTCTCTCTTTCTCTCTCTCAGAGTCACGCAAACAAAATAAGCACCACTGGCTATGTTTTCATCCACCATCCTCCATATTTTTATGTGTAATGGAAATGATTGATGGTTCACATCAATTTTGAAAATGCTCATAAAACATTCTGTGCACCACTGAGTACGATAAACTTTTCTTATCTGAAGTTCATAAACTACAATGAAATTTGCTGAATAAATTCCAGCATCCGCAACAGGAAAGGTCACGTGAATTTGGCACTGTTTACACTGTCAGGTCTTGATGCCCAATTCCGATCTGTTGCTTATATCTGATTTTTTTTAGCTTGTTCGTTTAATTGTGACCCATATCTGATTAATGTGTTTACACAGTTGCAATACAATTTACGATGTCGCGCATGCGTAAAGGCCGGGTTCTAGCATCTGCGCCACACTAGCCATGATGGAAGAAATTGTCTTGCTTTTAGCTCTGTGAAATTTGCGAAGTTCGCTCAACTTTAAAATGATTTTGAGGCGGAGGAGGAGGAGGAGGGAAAGCACCATCATCGCTGCTTGCGCCTATGGTTTATTCATGGCACGAGAGAGATCTCAGGTCTGGTGGGAGCAAATTGTGGTAACTGACCACTTTCCTCCTCCATGTTTCGTCTGTTGTTGTTGTTGTTTACCGCGTCAGCGTCTCCACACTCGGCACAAGCCGGTATAAAAATCTGACAGTATGATACCCTTGGATAAAAATATAAGTGTTTCACGATTTCACAGTATTGTGATTACTGCACTAAAATATATTATTTTTAAATGTCTGCATAAAAAACAACAACTTTTTCCCCCTTTAAACACAATATATTTTATTTTTTTAATAAGATTTATGATATATTGATGATGAATCATTGACTTCTGCTGTCTTCATTAGTTTTAAAAACACAGATTTCTTTACAGTTAAAATTGGCATCTTTAGATATCTTTTCTGTCAGAGATACTGTTGTCCTAAAAAATCTTACACATATCCTAGGAACGGTATTCAGGGCTCGAAATTAACTTTCTTACTTGGTAGCACCGGTGCTCCCATCCTGAAATATTTAGGAGCACCAGAAAAAAATTAGGAGCATCCACCAAAAATGAATGATATATTTGACAAGTTGTATATTAGGGATTTATTGTATTTGAAAACAACATCAATTGGGACTAACAAAACCCAGAAACAACTATCTAACTAATGCTGTGATGACTTAATATTTTTGCAATAATTCCAAAATGAATGTTGAATAATTATAAAATATTATTGATTATGATGATGACAATAATATTAATGAATAATTTTTCTCATCATCATGCTGCCTTGAATGTGCTTTAATGCAAGTTATCTGCTATATAAAGTCCTGCTGTTAATTTATGAAAAAAAATTGATAGTTTGCATCAAACACAAATGAATGAAGCATTGTAGTAAGAAATATTAATTTTGTACTATTGTTTTATATGCATGCCAATTTAATAAATAATATTTCTGCTACAAAACAAACTAAATAATATAATAAATCATTCAATCCAATGCTGAAAGCTGCAAAGCAGTCATCAGTAATTAAATAGAAAAATAATATACACCTCAAGAAAGAACGGACAAAAGAAAGGAGGAAAAGTCTCACTTTTAAAAGTTTTGGTTTCGGTTCGTGTCGTTTTAATGCTCAGCCTCGTTACGCGCTGAATTACTTTTTTTGTGTTTGCGGGAAAGCATGCGAGTCAGCCGGCCCGATACGAGGGGGGCAGAGCAGGATTCTCCCGATGCCCACCGGCGCAACACTGTTCTTTGTTATAACCCGCATCAGATCAAACTCAGTAAAGGCGAGCTTCTTTGGCGATGGTGTTTTAGCGGACATTTGCGCTGTTGCAGCCTGATCTCACGAGGAAACGTATGAAAAAGTTATGAATTGCCGTGAGATTGTGTTTGCTGAACACGCAGTGCATGCAACACATCGAGATTCAGTGTACTTTTCACTCTTCAGCCGTTTGCAATCCCCGCGGTCACAAAAGCTCCCTCCCTGTCATCTGACAGCGGAAAGTCTTGAGTGATTGACGGCTAATATGAACCAATATAGCGGCAGGGAAGAGCGAATTTACCACGTTTTTAGAAAAAACAAAAACAGGTCGCATTACAACCATAACATGCAGTCGCACGAATGCTCCCAATATATATTATGAGTCGCATAGCTTAAATTTCGGGCGCATATGCGACTAAAATGGTCGCAATTTCGAGCCCTGGTATTGCAGAAAAAGTCGGTGGTTTTAAAACCGTGACTTTTCCAAACCGCGGAACACCTTGAAAACGGTTATCGTCCCTTGCCTACTCCACACACTCTTTTCCTTCTACGTTCATCATTAAACCGCAGAAAAGCACCACATTGTCGAAAGTTTAATAACATACAATACGAAATGCCTCAATAAATCCAATAAATGATAGTCGTATTATCACATTTCCGATTTATGTCTGATTTATTTCCACACATGACAAATTGAATTTTGACGCATAAGCAATTCCAAGCAAATGTCAACCTTGCCATTAAAACATTTAAGTTTTCACCAAAATATGGAAACCGTTTATACATTTTTTTGTCTAAGCAAGTATTTTACAGTATTTAAAAAATACTCAAAAATGTATCCATCACTGTTTTCAAAC